AAGAAGTCCAACCAATTCTTGGTCAGTTTGCTGATGTCTTCCCATATGACCTTTCGGATCAGTTACCCCCACTTAGAGACATCCAGCATGCCATAGATTTTGTCCCAGGAGCTTCCCTTCCTAACCTGCCACCCTATCACATGAACCCTACGGAACATGCTGAACTCAAGAAGCAGGTGGATGAGTTACTACAGCGAGGCTTTATCAAGTAAAGCCTTAATCCCTGCGCTGTGCCAGCCCTTCTTACCCCTAAGAAAGATGGATCATAGCGAATGTGTGTTGATAGCCGTGGTATCAAAAAAATCACCGTCAAATATCGTTTCCCTATCCTAAGGCTAGACGATATGCTTGATATGATGACGGGTGCCACTCTATTTTTTAGGATCGATCTCAAGAGTGGATACTACTAGATTCGGATCTGACCCGGTTATGAGTGGAAAACTGCCTTCAAGATCAAGGATGGTCTCTACGAGTGGTTAGTCATGCCTTTCGGGTTGAGTAACGGCCCGAGTACTTTCATGAGGATCATGACTCAAGTGTTGTGCCCTTTTATGAGAAAGTTTGTCGTTGTCTATTTTGACGGCATTCTTATTTATAGTCAGTCGGCGAGTCAGCACTTAGACCACTTAATGCAAGTTTGCGAGGTCTTTAAAAAGGAACAACTTTATATCAATCCCAAGAAATGTACCTTCCTTGTAGTCCGAGTTATCTTTTTTGGGCTTTATTGTGTCAGCCTAAGGGGTCTCTGCAGATCCAGAGCAGGTGAGGGCCATTGTAGAATGGCCCGTTTCTCAGAACATCCGGGAAGTCCGCAGCTTCCACGGACTAGCCACCTTGTATAGAAGATTTATCTGAAATTTCAACACCATTGTATCTCCTATTACCGACTGTCTTAAGAAGGGTGATTTCCACTGGACCCCGACCGCCACCAGTGCTTTTGATGAGATTAAGAAAAGAATGGTGGAAGCCCCAATGATGAGACTTCCTGATTTCTCCAAAGTTTTCGAAGTGACCTGCGATGCTTCGGGCGTCGGAATTGGAGGAGTCCTATCCGAGGAATGTCACCCGGTAGCTTATTTCAGTGAAAAGCTAAATGACATTCGGCACCGTTATTCCACATATGACAAAGAGTTCTATGCAGTGATCCAGTCTCTGCGTTATTGGCGACGCTACTTGCTCCCGTAAGAGTTCGTTATTTTATCGGATTATGAGGCTCTACGTTATATCAACTCCCAAAGAAGTTGAACGCACGTCACGGTCGATGAGTCGAATTCCTTTAGGAGTACACTTATATTCTTAGACATAAGATGGGAGTTGAGAATAAAGTTGCTGATTCTCTCAGTCGTCGTATGATGACTACCGCTTAGATGAGAGCTGAAGTCGTGGGATTTGACCAAATCAAAAGGGACTATTTGGAATGCCCAGACTTCAAGGAGACATTCTCTCCTGTCCACAGTCAGCATACGCCTTGTGGACGATTTCCTTCTAAAGGATGGTTATCTCTTCAAAGCTCAAAAGCTTTGCATCCCTAACACCTCACTTAGGGAATTTCTTGTTTGGGAACTCTACACCGAAGGCCTCGCTGGGCACTTCGGTCGGGATAAGATGATGAAAGCCGTGGAGTATCATTTCTTTTGGCTTAGTCTGAAGAGGGATGTCGATAGGATGGTCAGCAGGTGTCACACTTGCCAGCTGGCCAAGTAACGCAAGCAAAACACTGGTCTGTACACCCCTCTGCTCATCCCGAGTTGTCCTTGGCAGGACATAGCATGGATTTTATCTTAGGCCTGACCAAGACTATCCGTAGGAATGACGTCATCTGTGTTGTAGTCGATCGATTTTTTGAAATGGTCCAAGACATTCGACGCCTCCCACATTGTTAAACTTTATTTTGATGAGGTCGTCCACTTACATGGTTTACTCAAAACCATTGTATCGGGCAGGGATGTCAAATTCACTAGCTATTTTTGGAAGAACCTTTGGATAAAAATGGACACTAAATTGCAATTCTTCACAGCCTTTCATCCACAAATTGATGGTCAAACCGAGGTATTCAATAGGAGCTTAGGCAATCTGTTACTATCCCTGGTAGGTGAGCATATTAAGGATTGGAATTCCATACTCCCCATAGTTGAGTTTTGAACCGAGCCACTGGCCTAAGGCTCTCTGAAATTGTTTATGGGTTCAAACCTAGACAGTCGCTAGATCTCATACCCATGTGCTCTAGGTATAGAATTTAAGAGTCTACGTCCATATTTGCATCGCATATGCATGAACTTCATAAAGAGATTGCACGATAGATTAAAAAGAGCAATAATGATTATAAACTGTATGCTGATCTTAAACGAAAATTTAAAACTTTTGAGATTGGTGACTCCGTGTTGGTGCAGATTTGTCCGGAACGGTTCACGCAAGGAACAATTAAGAAGTTATATGCCAAGAGTGCTGAACCATTCAAGATAATTAAGAAAATCAATTATAATGCTTATGTAGTAGATCTGCCCGCATAATTCAATATCAATCCCTCCTTTAACATAGAAGATCTAGTAGCATATGAAAGTCCCGATTTTAACACACCAAATCCACTTATACAACAATCTTGTGTGACCCTATTATGTGAGAACCTAAACTTACCTCAACTTCCAAACATTCCCAAATCACCCATGACAGAGAAGGTTGACACAATTCTGAGTGATGACATCATCTCCACAAGAGAAGGTGGATGACGGAGGTATTTGATCAGGTGGAGAGGCAAACCTGAGTCAGAGGACACGTGGTTGAATTGCGAGGAGCTACAACAGATTGACCCCGACGCATTGGAGATCTATGAGAGCACCCGAAGCGCTTACTCGACGGAGTCGAGCTTTTTTCCACCCCGAGAGAATGATGGAAACATTAGAGCTTGAAAAGTTTATCAGAGGCGTGGTCGCAGATCTACGGCCACGATCGAGCCGATACATTTTTAAATCTTCATATGTATTTGTTTTTAATTATTTGTGTTTGTATTTTCTTTAGTTGTTTTCCCCTTTTTATCCCTTACTTAAGGGTGGTCATGTGTAAGCCCAAAGGGCGAAGTCGTCTTTTATTTTTCGTCCATTGTATGAGGTTATATATAACCCTTATGTTCTTTTTTGAAGGTTAATGAATGATAAAATTTTCTGTGTTTTGAGTTCTTGTGAAAGCTTGAGAGAGGTTGGAGAGAGACCCCTTGGAGAGGGAATCGGATCACCCACCAACCTTGGAAGTGCCCGGCCCCCTCGCCCAAAACCCCTAGTCCAAGCCGCCAGCCCCCCCTTTGGATTTCCCTTCATCATTACTTGCCATTAAGCCCTTCCTAAATTAGCTCTTCATATTTTAGTTAACTCAATTAATTGTTATTACCTAAAATATAAATCCTATTTTAGAAAAGTTTTCAAACTCTACCCTATTTGAATTTTAAATTAAATTTGAATGAGATCTCTCTTTCCAAATTTAATATCCTAAATCAAGAAAGCATTAAATGTTTCCCTAAACCTCTCATCTCTCTCTATGCCGCCGGCCCCATCAAATTTCCCTTTGGAGTTATTTCCAAAAGTCAAGCTACTCTCTCGGAAATAATTCAAGCCATCCCCCTCTCTCTTGGCCAAAATTCCCAAGGCCCCACCGCCTTTACTTCTTTCCAAAATCACACCTTTTTCTTTTGGAATTAATCCCAAGCCTCCTCTACTCTACCCGCCCTTCTTCATGCCTTCATACCTCCTTTAAAATCTTTCCAACTCAAGAGTCTTTGATTTGGAAATTAATTTAGGCCTTTCCCTCCAAAACTCTCTCTCAAATTCAACTCTAACTCCACCAAAAACTTGAATTTACTAGTCCTAAACCTCCTTCATTAGGCCGGCCACTTCCCTCCCTATTCTCCACCTCAATCCATGAGAGAAACTTCTTTCTCTTAAGAGTAGTCTTTAAGGGAAGCAACGACTATAGTCTTTAATACTTCAACCCTTCAGAACCGATGAATGGCCGATCTCGATCTTGATTCCGGATTCGTTTACAACGAGCAAGGAAACTTCGACATTCTCCGGTCAACATTCTTCGACGTCAACCCGGAAGTTGGCAACTCCGTTGAAGAATATTTGGATCGCATCATCTTCACACTACCTGAAGCAATCGAAGAACAGCTTGCCAGCGTTCCGTGGCAAATTGCTTCCGGTCCTCGATGAGGGTGAACTTTTTCCCCTATTTATTTTTTTTCTAAATCCTCTGATCTTGTAGGTAGTGATTCAAGCACAAGGATTCGTGCCAAGCTCTCTGCCTTTGCTTAGTAAATGTAGTTCTTGATTTTCTATGTTCTAATCTCAATGATAATTTAAGGATTTTATTGAATAACTACTTAATTTGCATTTTGTTGAAATTCTAAATTACTTTGGTGATTCAAGTTCATAGCATGTGATTTGGCCTAAGCGTAGCTACCCCTCTTTCATTTTCTATCATCGTTTAGTGGTTAATAGTCTTAATTACTATTTGCTCTTATTCAAAACGTGCAAGTTTTTATCGCATTAATTTAAAACATATTTAGTCCTGCATCAATTTGATTACCTATTTCTAAATTTTGACACCCAATTTGTAATCTGTTTAGGATTGTAATAGTACATGATAATATTCAGCAACTTTCTTCTGAAGATTACCTTTTTAACTTGACCAGAATGATGGAGTATAGTTGTGCATTCAAATCAGAAATTGTTTCTCACTTTATTCTTTATTGTTCCTTTGTATGACAAAGACATCCTAACAGCCATGGCTAATACTTTTCATGCTCATATAGTCATATCTGCTATCATTATAAATTTATGTTCCTATATTTTTGTAAATAGTATCTTTGATCGCAAAACCTTTACTATGATTGGAAATATTCCCGGTTATCCATTTGCTCTTGTGGGATGTGCTACTTTGCTGATTGCTTAATATAAAGCCAGGCAGCGAAATTTACCACTAATTTTGGGATTAATTTTCATATTTCCTAGATTCAGTGGAACCATTAAACGCCCCACCAGTCGATAATGCTGAGAATTCCATTAGCAGAGAGAACTCGAAAGACCAGGTTACTTTCTTTTTAAAAGTTAATTTCTTTGTATGCACTGCTGTTTTTAGGTGCTAATCCAGTTATTTATTGGTTAGCCTCTGTCTTCTAAAGATGAGAAAAGATTGCATAATGATATTTCACACGATTCAAATCCCATGGATCCACTAAGAGATGCGCCGTTGGGATCCTTAAATACCAGTGGAGATCATGGTCTTGTTTATCCACCAAATATATATGCTCCACAAGCTCAAGCATTTGTTTATGGAGGTTAGCATGTATTCTTGTGTTCTTATCTCTTGCGAGTTTGATTACTATTTCTTTACATTTGTTCTGTTAGTGATGTTATAATCTCTAATTCTTTTTTCCTTTTCTATTTAACCGGGCATTGAACTTAAATCTTTCTTGATCTTCAGGCTATGAGAATACTCCTGGTGAATGGGAAGAGTATCCGCATCACTTTATGCATGCAGAAGGTTTGGAACCTGGGTCAGCAGTGAGTATATCATTTATAATTTGTCATCTTCATCTAATATTGTTTCGTGAAAGTCAAAAGGAATCATTTTTGTTCATTTTGTTTCATTGAAGGGCTTTTACTCCGAGAACCAATCCGTTATGTTCCACCCTGGTTATGGGTACAGTCCCCAGATGCCGTATGGGCCATATTCTCCAGTTACAACACCTTTACCTGCTTCTGGGAGAGATGGCCAGCTTTACTCCCCTCAACATTTTCCTTTTACAGGCCCATACTATCATCAACCAACTACGCCCAACATGCCATATCTGCATGCACCGACTCCAATATCTCAAGCTGATTTGACAATGCCACTTGAGCAACAAGGTGCTTTTCTTGCCAACCTGAATTCCAGCAGCATTCTATTGGGACCAACAACTGCTTACCATGTTCCCTTTAGTTCTTTTGGTAGGGATAGTTTACCGGAAATTATAGCGGTTTGTATGATTTGAAGCAATGATTTGATGTTTTTAGCATTGGTTACTTTTTGGACAGATTGGTTGAAATCTCCAGATGCGATGGGATCTCTGACTCCGTTGCTTTCACCAGCAGCTTCACCTCAACCTCTAGGCGCTGTTGGATCCTATGGCCAAGGCATGATGCCGTTTTCTTCTGGAATGGTATATAGCTTCTGAACTATTGCACTTTTCTAAGGCTTATTTGGTTGCTTGAAGTTGGAAAGCATATTTTGAAAATTGAGGTGTTTATAAAATACAATCATTTGGTTCAATTAATTTGGATTTTAAACTTTATAAATGCCTTCAAAATCCGTAAAAGGTGAGGATTTTGATTTTATGCTTAAAATGAGTGAAAATAAAACCATTACTCTAAAACATGTTTTTGATCTGCAAGCAGTCAAATGAGAGTTATTGTGAATTTCTCATCCGAATATCTTTATGCTATATAACTTGATGGTTTTCTGGAGAAATGATCCTAGACTATGAAGTTGAGTTTCTCATGTGATTATCAAATGCACATATGAGGACCTGGATCTTAATATCTTATGGTGGCAATTGGATGGGCATGCATGTCCTCTGTTCCACTCTCTCTCTCTCTCTATTAATTTTTTTGTTGGCTAGTCCGATTTAACTGATAAAGAAGGTAGCTGTTAATTTCCTTTGGATGAATGAAAATAATGGCCACAAAGGCTTGGTTAATGTAGCAAGTTAACTACCAAGTTTTACACAATAAATTTTGTGATTCATCATGCACACGCCTTTTTTAGGAATGCTATTAATAGCTCGTAGCTGATTTTTTTTCTGCTCTTATGAGCTAAAGAAACTAGTGTCAGAAGAATTAAGACTCAAAGGTAAGTGCTCTAAAATTTTTAATATTCTAGTTATCAAGTGGTGTTATATGGATATTCTGATAATAACTGATTATGATTCATGATCCCAAGAAATTAATTACATGAACTTTGGTAAATTAGTAACTGTCAATTATTGAACATGAATTACACATTCTCTATAGTCGGGGATTTTAATTTACTGTTTACAGTAATGTTCTCCGGTAGCTACCATCTGATGTGCCTATATGAGATTCTTACTTTTCAAAAACCAGGTAATTTTCATTTTGTAGGTTTTTCGATTAGCTTCTGAAAGCTTCTGGCTCTTTTTACTGTTGTATTGTAATCTACTTACTGCACCGACCTGCTTTCAAAGTTTGTGTGCTTTGCTAGACCCATCTAATGTTAGCTGAATATTATCGGCTCCTGCATGATTTTAGGTAAATTTTTTGTAGGCCTTTATGCCATTTCTTTTGCAGATTGACATTCATTATCAATCAATATTATAATTTTCATTTTAATCATTGTTTCCATTTGTTGTTACGTGTGATGCTATTTTCCAATTTTCAATATGTTAGACCTGCATCATGTGTAGATTCCTCACGTATTTAGTACAGTTTTATTAGCTTGCTTTTGGTGCGCTGTACAATTTATTTGCAGCCATGCTTAAATGAGAAAAAGAATTGAGAAATGGGATTAAAGCTAATTATGATGATGATTTGAGAATTGGGCCACCTGACTTGATTAAAACATCAAAGCTTGATTCAACTCTGTGATTATTTCCTATCTACTTCCAACAATGTCATGATTTTGTCCTAATTTAAGTTTTTTTTTCTCATTATATATACTTAATTATTTTTAGGCATCTGAACCGCAAAGATCTTTCTATGGTTTTGGATCGTCAATTAATTCCTATGATCAAGGATATTTTCAAGGTGGGATGTATCACCATGGAAGTAATTTTGGAGGATCTATTCCTAGCTTAGCAAATAATGGTCGCAGTTTGATTGCAATTGACAAAAGTAGGAGACGAGGCAAGGGAAATACTTCCATATGCAACAGCTGCAATGACTTTCTCAACGAACAAAACCGAGGTCCACGTGCTTCCAGACCAAAGAATGCAAACATTGAACAGGGTTTGACAGCTGATAGCAAAAACAATAATGTAACTTCAGGTGTTAACCGTGAACTCTACAATAGGCCCGACTTTTCTGTTGAGTACAAGGATGCAAAATTCTTTATAATAAAATCTTACAGTGAGGACAATGTGCACAAGAGTATTAAATATGGTGTTTGGGCCAGCACTGCTAATGGAAACAAGAAACTAGATGCTGCTTATCGTGAAACAAGGGATAAAGGAGATTTTTACCCAGTTTTCTTGTTTTTCTCTGTAAGTTTTCTAATACCTTTTCACCGTTCATGCTGGGGTGAGGCTTAACTTTAAAAGTCAAGGTTGCATTTTTGCCTATTTTGACTTTTTTTATTTCTTCTTGATAAATTAACTTGTAACTTTTGGTGATTATGGACAGGTGAATGCCAGCGCACAGTTCTGTGGTGTTGCTGAGATGATTGGACCTGTTGATTTTGACAAAAGCGTGGACTATTGGCAGCAAGACAAGTGGAGTGGTCAATTCCCTGTGAAGTGGCATATTATAAAGGATGTGCCAAACAGTCTGTTCCGGCATATTATCCTTGAAAATAATGATAATAAACCTGTAACCAACAGCAGAGACACCCAGGAGGTAGGCTCTGTTTGTTTCTTACTTTTCTCTTGAAATGATTGAAAGCCTAAAGATTTATTCTTCTATTAAATCTTCCAAACATATTAATTGACATACCAAAAGCCGCGTGCCTCATGCTGTAATGGTGAGGTAAGTCAAGGTGCTTCGCTTACTCCATTTCTTGTTTTTCCTTTGCATGTGTTCAGGTATCTTATGTTAAACATATGAAAGATGGAAGGCTGACAAGATTTGTGGCTTCGATTGACTTATTTCAATCTTATAGAAGCAACAAATCATTTGATTTGGATCATACTTCTTTTTTGTGCTCTCGTTTTTGCTTTCTTTTACAAGTTTTGTGATCATGCTAGTGCGTTGCATGAAAGCAACATATTTTATAGCTTGAATACAACTAGAAGTGTGCGAGGGCCGTTGTGCCCGGTTGTAGTGTTAAATAGGCAAGAGTTCTCACATCATGGGCGAATGTGGGCAAAGAAGCTAGTCCTTGAAATTAGAATTATGATAGATTTTTTTTTACAGACAAATTAATAGAATTATTAGATATTATGATTCATAGGAAAATAAATATTATGTACATTCAAACTAAATGGGTTGGAGAGAAGACTAAAGAAATTGATAGTTTATGATTTAAACTATGGTATTCAGGTAGGAGTCATACTATAAATGATGGTGTGATTATAAATAAGAGTTTGAAGGATAATGTTGTAGAAATTAGTAGAATTGGAGATATAATTATAGTTTTAAAGATTATTGTTGATGCTAAGATTATTAATATTTTAAGTGTCTATGCTCCTCAAGTAAGTTAGGATACGTATTCAAAATTAAAATTTTGGAATAACTTAGAAAAATTAATACAAAAGATACTCTTGAAGAAAGAGTTTTTATTTGAGAAGATTTAACTGAACATATTGGTAAAGAGGTAGATAGTTTTAAAAGTATTTTTTGTGAATATGAATTTGGAGCAACTAATGAAGGTGGTGATATATATATTAAATTTTGCTATAGTTTATGATTTTGTAATTGTTAATACCTTATTTAAGAAATGAGATAGAACATCTCATCGTTTATAAGAATAGGTATAATAAAACTTAGATTGATTATTTTCTTATACGAAAAATAGATCGTTTAGATTGTAAATATTGTAAAGTTATTTCGAGTGAAAATTTATGCACCCCACACCACTTCTTAGTTTTAAACTTTAAGATGAAGGGGAAGAATATTAAAAAAATAAAGTAAAATATTTTTTTAGAATTAGATGAGGACATTGAAAGAACATTAATAAAAATATTTTTAAAAGTAAGATTCAATATCTTAAGATTTTATTTGTGCTTGAGGTAGTTAATGCTCTGTGGGAAAAAATAGTTAGTGATATAAAAAATGTTGTAAAGGATGTGCTTGAAGTATTAAAAGGAAAATTTCATAATAGTAAAAATTGTTGGTGGTAGAATCAACATGTGCAAAAAAGATTAAAAAAAGAAACTTTGTTATAAAAATTATTTAGATGCAAAAATTTTAAAAATTGGGAAAGTTATAAAGAGGTCCGTAAATATTCTAAAAAAGATATGCAATGAGCTTTTAATGATTTATATAATATATTAGATATTAAAGAGGGAAAGTATATATGTATAAGTTAGCCAATTAAAGAGATGTGAGAAGTAAGGATTCAGTTCAAGTGAAGTGTATTAATGATGAAAATAAAAAGTGCTTTTATTAGAAGATGATATTCAATAAAGGTAGATGAGATATGCAGTGCAAAGTGTGCAAGGGCCACTTCACCATCTCTCGGGTATAATGTTAAATAGGCAAGGGTCCCTACATTATGGACGGATGTGGGCAAAGATGTTATTATATGAAACTAAAATTAGGATAGGAAGTATGAATATATGTTTCTTTGCAAAAAAAAAATAATAGAATTAATAGATATTACGATTCATAGGAAGGTAAATATTCTATGCATTCAAGAAACTGAATGGGTTGGAGAGAAAGCTAAAGAGATTAATAGTTTAGGATTTAAACTATTGTATTCAGGTAGGAATTGTATTAGAAATGATGTAGGTATGATTATAGATAAGAGTTTGAAGGATGATGTTATAAAAACTAATAGAATTGGAGATAAAATTATAGTTTTATAGATTGTTGTTGATTCTACGATTATTAATATTACAAGTGTTTATGCTCCTTAAGTTGGTTTGGATGTGTTCAAAATTTAAATTTTGGAATAACTTAGAAGAATTAATACAAAATATATCTCTTGAAGAAAGATTTATGGACATATTGGTTTGGAGAAATTAATGAAGCTGGTAAGATTATATTAGCTTTTTTATAACTTATGATTTTTTAGTTTCTAATGTTTTATTTAAGAAAAGAGATGAACATCTAATCACTTATAAGAATAGATTTAGCAAAACTCATATTGATTATCTTCTTATAAAAAAAAAGATAGTTTAGATTGCAAAGATTGTAAAATTATTCCGAATGAAAGTTTATATATCCAATATCACTTGTTAGTTTTAGACGTTAAGATGAAGGGGCAAAATATAAAAATAAAGTAAAATATTATTCTAAGATTAGATGTGTGTATTTAACAAATATTAATGAAAATATTTTTGAGAGTAAGATTCTAGATCTTAAGATTTTATCTGTATGAGGAAGTTAAAGTTATGTGAGAAAATGTAACTAGTGATATTAAGAATGTTGCAAAAGATGTGCTTAGAGTATCAAAGGAAAAATCTTTCAATAGTAAAAATAGTTAGTATTAGAATTCATATGTGCAAGAAAAGATAAAAAATAAAAAGATTTATTATAAGGGAGAAATATAAATATATATATATATAAGTTAGTCAAATAAAGAGATAAGAGTAGTAAAAATTTAGTTCAAATGAAGTGTATTAAGAATGAAGATCAATAGTGCTTTTATTATAATAGGATATTAAACAAAGATGAATGAGATATTTTTTTAAACTTTTGAATGCAGATTATGAGAAGCTATTGACTTTAGTGACATTAGCATCCTAAATGAAAATAATTTTTTTATTTTTATCGACATATTAGTAAAACTGAAGTTAGAGAGGCTGTATAGAAAATGAAGTGTATAAAACTGTTGAACCTGATGATATTCCAATAGAGGCGTGAAAAGGCTTAGGAGATGAAATAATTTTTTTGCTTACTAAACTTTTTAATATTATTTTGAAGACTAAAATGATGTCAGATGAGTGGAGAATTAGTGTGTTGGTTTTTATTTTAAAGAATAAAGGTGATGCATTAGATTATGCGAATTTTAGAGGAATTAAGATAATGTGTCTAACTTTAAAACTATGGAAGAGAGTTATGGAGCATAGGTTGCAGCATGATACTAATGTTTTTCAAAATCAAATTGGATTCATGCCGGGTAGGTCTACTATGGAAGCTATATATTTATTGAGAGGTTTGATGGAGAGGTATAGAGAAAAAGGAGGATTTACATATTATATTTATTGATTTAGAGAAAGCATATAATAAAGTTTCAAGAGAAGTGTTATGGAGAGTTCTAGAAAAGAAAGGGATTAAAAATGCTTATATTCAAGTCATTAAGGATATGTATGCAGAAGCTGTTACTTGTGTTCAAATATAAGGTAGATTATATTAAGGATCAGACTTAAGCATATATATTTTTTGCTTTAGTTATGAATGTTCTCACTAGACATTTGCAAGATGTTGTAACTTGGCGTATGTTTTTTGCTGATGATATTCTTCTTGTTGATAAGATTAGAGAGGGAGTTGAAGGTAAACTTGAATTATGGACGTTAACCTTAGAGTCTAAAAGCTTTAATTTGAGTAGATCTAAAACTGAATATATGGATTGTAACTTCAGTAATAATAGATCTGGGGATTATGACTTTTGCTGATCAAGTCATTAATAAGAGTTCGCGTTTCTGATATCTTGGGTCTATTATTCAGAGTGATGGTGAAATAGATAGGGATATTATTAACATAATTCAAGTTGGATTGTTGAAGTGGAGGAATGCACCGGGCTTGCCGTGTGATAGAAAAGTCTCCCTCAAACTTAAGGGAAAATTTTATAAGGTGGTGGTTAGACCTGCAATGCTTTATGGTGCAGAATTTTGACCATTAAAAGAGAAGCATAATATTAAGTTTAAGTGTACATCAGATTTAAATGACCTTTCTTCATTATATTTAAATGAGAATTTGACTCTTAACAGGACACAATGGAGAAAAATGATGTATGTAGTCGACCCCACATATTGGGATAAAAGCTTGATGATGTTGTTGTTGTATTATCATGATTATAAACTTTTAAAATTGATATAATGAGAAGTCTCATTTCCTGTCCTGCATAAGTAATGGCTGTGGCTATAGTGCTTGTAGCTTTATTTAGTTTGGTTGCTTAGTCTTGTGTTCTCATCATAAGCTTTATATATTGTCCAACCTTACTGTTAATGAACCCTTGATAGTTGATATTCTTAATCAGTTTAGCAAGTTACTGCAGTTCATATAATGCCTCATCAATATCTAATCAATAGCTGTTATAAATGCTTCCAAACATAATTATTGTAATAAGCCATCAGCCTCATCCTCACACATGTTAGCGAATGGTCGGCGTATTCATTTAAGCTGCTTCATTGCCTTTCTTTGTCAATTTTCATTTATATGTTTGTGGCTACTTTCCCAATTTTAATTGCAGGTAAAACTTGAACAAGGCCTGGAGATGCTAAGCATCTTAAAGAAACATGATTCTGATGTGTCAATTCTCGACGACTTCGGCTTCTACGAGGATCGACAGAAATCAATGCAGGAGCGGAAGGCCCGACAGCAACGGCAGCTTTCTCCCTCCTCCGATGCGGTTGATGGGAGACCGACTCCAGGTTCATTGATTAGTCAGATCTCAAAGAGCTTTGGCCAGGTGGTTAGACTGGAAAAAGCTAACGGCGAAGGCTCTGCATCTGATAAAAGTAATACCGCCATTGTCAATTCTGAGGACCTGAAGAAGTCTACTTCATCAACGGCAGCATAGATGGTAACTGGTCCAATCATTCAGGTTCTTCATTACTGGCTAAGTATGGAGGAGGCTCAATCCAGCATTTGGAAAGAGGGGATGTGTGGGGGGATTAATTGATGGTTCATGTGGTAGTTGTACAGTAATATAGGCCACCCATTCTTCCAGTGGTGTAACCAAAGTTTTTTTTTTTCTCACCATATTTCTTTCATGTTATCTTTTAATTTTTTTGCTCATCTTTTCCTTTTTTTTTTTTATCCTTCAATTTTAGCTGCAAGGGGTATTGGAGCTGCTGCTTCATGTTAAGTCATTTGTAAAGTTCCAATTGAGATGCTCGGTCAATAAGTACCACTTTGTGTGGAAAGTCTCTGTTCGAATTTCGAATCTGGTACATCGTTCTATATTTTACTCTTTGTGATGCTTGCTCTGCTGAAATCTGAGAACAAGGGACATACATGTTAGACTAAGGAAGTCTCCATTTCCTGCTTTATTTACCTCCGATGAAACTTTGGTTTAAATACTTCATTGCAGTTGTTGCGTTGTGATTGGATAATTACGGGTTGGTTTGAGTTAATTTTTGTCTGTAATCATAATTTTGTTTGATTATTATTATTATTTTATAATTTTTTAGAAATTTTTTATTGCAGAAAGTTATTTTCTACAGTCATTAACAATTTTACAATCAATTTTATAAAACATTATAGTTGTTCTAAATTGACCTTACATTTTTTTTTTCGGTTCTTAATTCTTTGAAGTAATGCTACACTATTCACCTGTAGCATGTTATGATTATGTATTGATACTAATTTATTCTATTCAGGGAAAAAAAAAAACAGTACAGTATCTTTATACAATTTGAATCTTTTTAAAATTATTGTATTTATTTTGAAGTTGGTGTTGCATGTTAACAAATCTTACTCCAAGGCATAAGATCAAGATGAAGTATCATAGTTATCATCAACATTAATTATAAATCATGAACTTTATACAATTAAGATGAACTATCTTCAAGTGTGTGGCCATATCAAAATGGTGCAATCATCTTGAGAAGCGTGTAATTATCTTGAGAAGTGTGCAATTATTTAGGGAAGCATATCATTACTTTGGAAAACATGCAATTCCTCCAAATGATATCGCAATTTTCAAAATATGCAAGCACATTATGTACATTGAATGGCGTGTACATCATGCAAATACAATGAAGAAAGCACAAATACATTTAAAAGGGTGTGAATATGCTCTGCAAATGCATAAAAAAACATGCAAGTGCGTTGAATTTGCACACCAAAAAGTGTATAAATGATTAAAACATGGTAAGTTGTCAAAATTGAACTCACATTTATATGCTTTGACAAATATATTAATATTTCCACCAACAAAATCACTTTTGTTACAAGACAATATCCTATACTACATGAACAAGGAATCTTAAAATTAAGTGTTGTCTCAAAAATTACAAATATAGAAACATTGGATGCAATTAAGGCTTCATTTGGGACGGCTTTTTTATTGCTTCTTAAAGCCGCTTTTTAGTATAAAAAGTTAAAATTTTAAACTAAAAAGCTGTTTTAAGAATAAATAAAAAAAGTCATCACAAACAAAGCCTAAATCTATACATACCCCTCCGCCTATGCAGAACCATGAAATATTGTCCTCAGACTTAATCCCAATACTTTAACTCTGCATTGCAGAGTTTATCAAGTGGAGGAGAGTTAAGGCCGAACAAGCAATGGGTATTTCTCTAGATAAATTTCAACTGCTCATTATCATGATAGTTAATTAATTATTATTATTTTAAATTGATTAGCTAAAAACCTTCATATTTGTCATATATTAACTCTCATCCACTTGATGAACTCTGCTCTATAGAGTTAAAAGTATTGGGATAAAATAAGTAGTTGTGTCTCTACAAGTGGTGGAGTATGTTATTTCATTTGCATCCTGTATTATAAGAGATAAAAAAAAGGTAAAAAAAAAAAAAAGACCCTAAAGGGATGGCATTATTTTTCTAGAGGACTTGGCCAAGGTGGACTAATGTCTCATCTAATACAAAATTGCTTGAAACTTGGTTTCTCACAAATGACTCGTTTGATAGCATCACTGCTTTTATGGCATCTAATAAGGTAAAAAGCACTTTTTATGAAGCTTAAGCTTGTACAAGGCAAACAGATGCAGGCTACCCAGCATGAGACCAATAAAAGATTGTCAGCAATGGAGAAGAAGCTTATGATATTCACCTGGATTGATGGCATTTGAGCTCAATGAAGATATGGGGATGAGAGGAAATAATGGGGATTCAAGAGAGAGAGGATGACTTAACAACTGAACCAAAAGAGCCGTTGCAGATTTTTGGGTGATAAGAGCCAAGATTCTCAGCTGATTAACTAAGTATTGTTGTGGATATAAAACTTTTGAGCTTATTTCAGTGTTCTTCACTATCTTTCAATGCTAATGGCAATGAAATAACATTCAAAAGTGAAGAGGTTAGTTCCACGCTATAATCAGTTTTGACCTTTCATCTCTTTTTTCCTGTCTTTGGTAAATAAATGAAGACCATGCAAAATGTAAAGCAATTAAATAGTCAGTAATGGCGTTCTAGTTTCAAAATCATTTAAATGGTTTCTCAAATCAGTTATCTAAAGAAGTGTTAAATTGTACTACTAGCAAAGTGCCTGCAAGACGAAAAATTATTCTATGCGGAAGCCAAGTTCACGTCTGGATACCTCAGCCCGTGGCTCGGTACCGCGGTACCAGGGCTCGGTACTGCTCAGTACCGCGGCTCGATATTGTTGACGTGAGTCATTCTAATTGGTATCCGAATGTAGAGCTGCATTCAGCGTCCGCACAGAATAATCTCTCCTGCAAGACACTGCTGATTTCCACTTAAAGGGCATCCAGAGATTGTACCTTTCATGTTAAATTGTAGTCCAAACTCACAGAAAAATTGTCTTGTTCTAATAGTGATCTAATGGTCAAAGCTTTGTATTGCGATGAAGGTCATCACTTATGAATAGAAGCCAAGCTAAAGAAAACACTTACAAATATTTACTATATCAAAAAGTTTTTCAACTTGTTACACACACGTATCAGAGCTCTGAATGAACAATGGTATACAGTGATATTTTCAAAATGGTACGAGTATTAACAGACTAAAAAGACATAATAAGAAACATGAAAGACAAAAAAGAAAGATAAACCACCAGAAGAATACCCTTATCTGCAACTAGACTCGACCTCCATGAGAATCCAGCAGAGTCAGTTTCAATCATGATCTCAAATTTACATGTTGAAGTAGATGGATCCACATTTGTGATGGTTGCCAGATTATTGAACCCACAGGCTTCATCATTTTGATCATTTATTTGATAGTAGCTGTTGAAAGCATAAGAGATGTTACCCCTTGCTTCTAAGTTTCCACATGAAGTCTTGTAGCCAAGGCTGGTACAATCGGCATTTTCACAAGCATAGCTGACGCTTGGTGCCACATTCGGATCATCAAGGCTTGCAGAAGGTTTGAACACACACCATTTCTTGTCAAGGTACCTCACATTCTTAGCTTGAGCAAGACGTCCATTTGTACTACCAAGATTTAATGGATACTTTGGCAAACCATCAAAAGTGTACAAGCCCCAGTGGCGTTCAAAATTCCCAGGCTGTATGCTTTTTTCATCTTCATCAATCAAGCTGAACAAGTAAGCATAGATTGGTCCAGGCCTCATTGGTGTCCCTTGCCCAGTTGATATATGATTCATAAATCCCTGATTGAACTTCTGAGCAAACTGAAGGTTTGCATTCATATCTCCATCAGTTGGCCAACCAATTTCCCCTACAATGACAGGAAGATTTCCAAATCCATACTTCTTCAAAGTCCAAATTAGAGTGTCATAGTTGGCATCAAACATGTTTGTGTAGGTTGTGGAGCCATCAACAACTGGCGATGAAGTCCCATCAAAGAAAGCATAGTCAACTGGAAAATTCGGGTTATCGTAAAGGCTGATGAAGGGATATATGTTGACAGTGAAGGGGGCGCCATTGTCACTTAGGAACTGAGTTATGTTGAGCATAAGGTCATGGATATTGGAGCGGAAATCGCCATCGGAAGGCCGGTCACTTGCTGATTGATATACATCAGCATTAAGAGGTACTGTGACCTTTACCCGACTGCTCAGACCTGCATTTGCAAGGGCTCCTTGAATGTTCTGGAGTGCAGGTAGAGTGGTATAAAGAAAACTCTCATGGAACGTTTTTAGGAAAGGCTCATTCCCAACAGCGACATACCTATTGATGGAAAAATTGTGTTTACATAATCCGTAAAAGTGGAGCATACCATTAATGGCAAAAGTGAACTCCAATATCATTGTCAAATGGGAATTAACATGCTTAGACTAAAATAAAGCTTCCAACTACTAAACAATTTACCATCTGTTGCAAGAGAGAAGAGAAGAGCTACAAACTAGTGATTACAAAGGAAGAGTTGACAGGAAATCATCTGAGGACTACATGTCCGACATTCAACAATATAATAGTGTGCTCTTAATGGAACTATAATAGTTGGCTTAACAACACTGTGGACAATGCGTCAGGAACTTGATGTTGCTGGTAAAATAATTTAAAAAATACAGCATAATAAGAAGCATAATAAGCCAATTTTCGAGTGTAAGACTTGGCCTAGGAGTGAAGCATGCTGACAAGGCTACTTAAAGTACATCATGATCATGTTTCCTATTTCAAAAATTTGTAGTCTCAGTACATGAATCCTAATCCTACATTCATTATTACTGTTTAGAAGTTATGGTGTTAAATCCATTTTGTTTAATATAATTTTGCATGATTAATGTTTATGATATTTTTGGTCGAAACATCTTTGTTTGCTCAAGAAAAAAGATGCTTTGGCATGAATCCCGCTTTTTAAACTTACGATTCCATTCTCTTTATGGCAGATCATACATGTAATTGACGCAAAATAGCACACACCATGACGCATAGCCCGATGCTGCACACATATGACGCTATTTGCTTGACACGACATAGCGCATCAATATAGCGTGCGCTATTTGCGCCATGCATGCGCAATGGAGCGTGGCGCAATTCGCAAATGGCACGCGCTATATTGTTAACATGTTATAAGTTTCAAATTATAAATTATAACACTACAGAAAAATGCAGGATTAACGTCGGAGCTACTGGCGGATTTATATACGTCGGTAACTACGACGTTTTTACCGACGTGGTATGTGACGGAACCATTACGGCGGAATTACCGACGGATAATTCGCCGGTATGTTTCCGACGCATATTACACTGATTTTTACGTCGTAATCTGTAAGCATGTGTCATGTAATGCAGCATATTTTACACCGGAAATTGACGGCGTATTTACTGGTGGGTTAGACGCCGATCATTTTAAACACAACGAAATATTATCGCCGTAAATAACGCCGGAAAACTTTTCGGCGGCTTATCTGCCAGAAAATATGTCGGCGAAAGCCCAATTTCATTTAAAATGAGCATATACGTGAAATGAGCATATACGTGATAAGGTTGGAGCTATGTTTAGGGTTTAGGTGGATGAGTGGCTTTACCCTTATAGATAGTTCCGAAATGAGCATATACATGGATACGTCTCCGATACGGCACTGATACGTGTCGGATACGGCAAACTGTATCCAAATAAAATACTATTTAATTTCAAAAGGACACGCGTATCCATTGAAAAACAAAAAAATCCACCGTAAGTTTTGGCGATTCTCAACTAGTGATAAATCAGGTCCTCAGCATTTATAAGGTTGGCAAATTTGAATTGGCCCATTACCACCGGCGAGCTCTCGAGCTTCTGAAGCAAGTGCCAAATATTAAAATAGCCCGAGTTTTTCGAGGTCAGAATGGTAAGGCAGATTACTTAGCCAAATTAGCCAAAGAAGTGGCGAATACCGATGAGGAAATGTCTATATCAATTATGGTTCACGATCGTCAAATCTTAGAGTCGGTAATCTTGCAATTCCCACAGGCAGAAGGAATACCAGATTCAATCCAACAAGATCCAATCCCAGTTGATGCTCAACCTCCCAAACAAATCGTTCTTAAAAATCAACCAGAAGAACGTCATGTAGTCAAGAGACGTAAAACCAGCAGATTCTCGGAGTCGTGGCTATATTGCTTAAACATTGAGGAAGGAGATGATTAGAGGCAACCCTTCATCGACTATTTCAAAGAAAGCAAACTCCCAAAGGATAAATCTCTCGCCGCGCAGATTAGGAAGAGAGCTTTACGATATGTGTTCGTCAATGATACGCTGTATCGCCGAGCTTTCGATCAAATGTGACTAAGGTACCTAGGGACCAAGGAAGCTGATAAAGCGGTAACAGAAGTCCACGAAAGACTTTGTGATGCACATCAGTCAGGTCACAAGATGGCAGCTAAAATCAAAATAATGGGTTACTATTGGCCGACCATGGTCAGAGATTGTATTGGCCACGCCAAGAGGTGTCATGAATGTCAAATTCACGGTGATGTTATACATCAACCGTCAAATCCTCTGCACCCAATAGTAGCGTCCTGACCATTTGAATGCTGGGACACATATATAATTGGGCCGATAGATCAGCCGTCTTCAATAGGACACCGTTTTATTCTGGCAGCAACAGATTACTTCTCAAAGTGGGCAAAAGCTGCTCCATTCTGAGAGGTCACATCTAAGCATGTGATCAATTTCTTTACCCACAACGTTGTTTACATATTTGATGTGCCACGTCACATAATCTCAGACAACAATACGACATTCAAAAGTATAAAAATTTATAAGTTTGTTGATCGACACAAAATTGATTAGTGGTATTCATCCATATACAATCCAAGAGCAAATGATCTGACGGAAGCTTTCAACAAGACGTTGGTAAAACTGTTGAAGAAGATCTTCACCAAAAATAAGAGAGAATGACATACGAAAATTGCAGAATCGTTGTGGGCATATCGTACAACCTACAAGACACCAACCAAAGCCACTCTTTATTCACTGGTGTTTGGAGTTGAAACAGTATTGCCACTAGAAGTTGACATACCATCACTCCGGGTAGCAATCCAGAATTATCTCACTTAAGAGCAAAATGCTTGCCTGAGAATGGAAGAGCTCGATGCACTTGAAGAACTCAGGCTACAAGCTCAACAAAACCTGAAAATTTACCGAGGAAGAATGGCAAAATCCTTCGACTGTATGGTGCGTTCTTGGACATTTCAAGAAGGGGAATTGGTCATGGTGCTGAGAAGGCCAATCATCCCACATCGAAAAATAGATGACAAATTCATATTCAATTGGGAGGGCCCCTTTGTCATCGAGAATGTATTTCAAGGAAGAGCATACCAGTTGATCGATCTGGACGGATATAAGCCTATGCCGCCGATTAACTGCCGATATTTAAAGAAGTATCACGCATGAAAATTTCATTTCTAATGTACTTTATAATGATCAAAATGTTATATGCATATTTATGAATGCATGCTTATATTTTGAAATTCTCTTGTATAACAATAATGCATTTCAAAATTCTTCATCAGACTAAGGTATTTTAAATATTTATTCGGGTCGATATCGCGTCGCGTGCCAAAATCCTCGAATAAATATTTAAAATCTCAAAGATACAAAGCATATCCAAAATGTTCCTACGAGACATGGGGCATTTTAAATATTCATTTGGGTCAACATTGTACTATACGCCGAGATCCCCAAATGAATATTTAAAATCTCAAGATTTCTAATTTATTCAATTCTAAGATGATCCTGCGAGATAGGGGGGCATTTTTAAATATTTATTATGGTCGACATCGCACTGCATGCCGAGATTCCCGAATAAATATTTAAAATTATCAATTCAAATATTCATTTATTCTAAAAAATATAATGATTTCTTTTTCAAAGTATATGTAGGTGATCTTTCAAAAGTTCAAGACATCATCTTCTCCAACGCACCAAGGTTTAAAAATCAAGAAAGAGATTTTTGTAACTATACGCTACAACAAATTAAGCCAGAAAAGCTTGAAGTTTTTCAATAGACTGAAGCTTAAGATTCAAATGAGTGTAAAAGGCTAGATCCAACACGCCCAAATATGGCCGGATCGCTAGCAGCTTCATCTACTTAACACGTCATAAGAAAGGTCGTAGTAGCAGAACCCGCACTTCGTCAACCCATCAGTAGGGATTGTAGGAAGTACGAAGGCTAATCCAACTCAACAAGTTCAAGTAATCGTAGTTTACGAAATTCTCCTTATTGACCAGAGAATCAAAGTTCCAATGGAAAGGAAGAGTCGCGAACAAATATCAAATGTACGTAGGCTCTAAATCTTCAACCACAAAGGAGAACTCCAAATCTACGAACTTCAGTAAATTCAACATTTGGAAGCATATTTCCTATAGCTCAAGTCTAAACCCTGAATGGGTATAAAAGGTCGGATACAACAAGCTCAAATATGACCGGATCGCTGGCAGCTCCATCTACTCAACAAGCCATAAGAAAGACCATAGTAGAGGAACCCCCATCTCAGCAACCAGAGGGCGAAGAGCTGTCAAATTCTAGCTCTCCCGATCTGATAAACTCAAGTGACTCATATTAAAGTCTTCTCAAGTTGTTAAGGATCAAAATACTACCTACGTTCGGTTATATCAACTGAATCCAGAAGCTGCAGATCCTTCAACAAATTCTTAAAGCACAAAACAATGATCGAATGAACTTTTCTTCAACAAGTTTGTCAAAGCACAAAGTAAAGGACTGAAGAAAATTATCCGAAAGTTAACACAAAGCCAAAAGCTGAACTAAGTAGATTATGTCATCAACAAGTCCATTATTCACAAAGCTCTGGATCATAACTTTTCGCCATCGACCTAATACAAACCTAAGGATTTAGGTCACTGGCATCTACTCCTTAATCAAGCCCTCTAAAGCTAGAAGCATATGGCCGAAGGAACATAAATCTCTTGAAAAATCACTATTAAAAATCAGGTAATCCTCCATCAATGTCCGCAGCACAAAGCACAAGACAAAAGAAATCAAAATCTCAGGACTCAAGCCAAAGCTAGGGAAAGACTAAATGACATCTACAAATGTCCCTAAAGACTGTGAGCATTTTAAATATTTATTTAGATCGACATCGCGTTGCATGCCGAGATTCCCAAATAAATATTTAAAATTATTTACGATGACACAAGCACAAGTCAGAGTACAACCACTTAATTCTCAAGAGCAGTAAAAAAAGAGCTCGTTAATAACTAAATTTATAAAATTACTTTAATTTATTCATTCAGAATTCATATACAAGTTTACAAATCTCATCTTTTTACATGTTTGCATCAACAAAAAAAAAGAAAAAAGAAAAATGAAAAGTACAATGTCCTTCATAGAGGATTATAATATGTTCCCTAAACTATACCTGAAAAGGAAGTCGACAGCTTTATTATGCTCATTCTAAAAATTAGTTATTCTGTACTTCTGGAACATGCACAAAGTATTAGAATTGTCAATAAGAAAGAAGAAGAAGAATCATGCAGACATATGTAAAACTACAAAAAGAAAGTTGTACCTGAACAAAGATCTCTCCTGAGGTGGCTTATAAAAAGTATCCCGCTCCTCTTGAAACCTGTGCAGAACAACAAAAGTGTTAGTAAGCAGCTAAACGGAGAAAAGGAACTACACAAATAAAGTAAACACGTATCAAAACTGAAGCCTCTTGGGGCAGTAATATGACTGAAGCTTGGATCATTTTTCCGTAATAACTTGCACAATATACAAAACATTATCAATATGAGCATAAAATCAAAACTAAGAAGCGAAGAAAGTGTACCTGAGCCCAAGAAGTAACTGTAGAAAGCCTGAAGCAGCAAGAGTCTTGCAAATTGAGAAAGATGCGAGCATTCATGAATATGCTAGAAACTAAGGTGATAGTGGCGCAAAAACAGAGTAAGAGGTGATAATACTATTCACTATCATCAATTTATAAAGCCATGCTCTAGGGACCCAAATACAAAATATTATATCACTATCTTAAGAATCTTTACTTAACTAAAGCCAATATATCAATCATCTATGGATACATTTAAAAGAGTCAAGAAGAAAAAAGACTAGTGTGGCATCTAAACAAATTCTTGGAAAATCCACTAAATGAAAATCCTGGTGTGACATATAAAACAAATATCTAGAGATCCACAGGGTCAATCAGCATACAACAAACGTGGTTCGCTATAGACGCAAACTACATTTATTATAGGACATTTGTTAACCTCTATATAATACCCAAAGAATATAAAAACGAAATCATTTCTCATACCTGTTGAATATACCCAAAGAATATATAAAGATTTCAGCAGGATATCTGGTTTTAACAGGTACGAGGAATGATTTTATTTTTATATTCTTTAAGTATTATACAGAGGTTAACAAATGCCCCCCAATAAATGTGAATTGAATCTATAACGAACCATGTTTGTTGTATGCTGATTGACCATGTGGATCTCTAGATACTTGTTCTAGATGTCATACTAAGATTTTCATTTAATGGATCTCTAAGAATTTATTTGGATGTCACACTAGTCTTCTTTATTCTTGACTCTTTTAAATGTATCCATAAATGATTGACATATTGGCTTTAGTTAAGTAAGGATCCCTATGATAGTGATATAACATTTCGTATTTGGATCCTAGAACATGGCTTTATAGATTGATGATAGTAGATAGCATTATAACCTCTTATACTGCTTTTGCGCCACTATCATCTTAGTTTGTAATATATTCATGAATGCTTGCATTTTTCTCAGTTTGTAGGACTCTTGCTGCTTTAGGCTTTCTACAGTTACTTCTTGGGCTCAGATACACTTTCTTCCCTTGTAAGTTTTGATTTTATGCTCATATTGACAATGCTTTGTATTTTGTGCAAGCTACTACGGGAAGAGAATCCAAGCTTCAGCCAGATTACTGCCCTAAGAGGCTTCAACTTTGGTACATTTTTACTTTGTTTGTGTAATTCATTTTCTCCGTTTAACTGTTTACTGACACTTTTGATGTTCTGCACAGGTTTCAAGAGGAGCGGGATACTTTTTGTGAGCCACCTCAGGAGACCTCTGTTTCAGGTACAACTTTCTTTTTGTACTTTTACATATATCTGCATGATTCTTCTTCTTTCTTATTGACACTTCTAATGCTTTGTGCAGGTTTCAGAAGTACAAAATATCTGATCCTAGGAAGGAGCAGAATAAAACCGTCGACTTCCTCTTCAGGCATAGTTTAGGGAACAGATTGTAGTCCTCTATGAAGGACATTATACTTTTCCTTTTCTTTTGTTGATACAAAAATGTAAAAGGATGAGATTTGTAAACTTGTATATGAATTCTGAATAAATAAAATAAAATAATTTTATAAATTCAGTTGTTGATGAGCTCTCTTTTTACTACTCTTGAGACTTTTGTGTTTGTACTTTGACTTGTGCTCGTGACATTGTAAATAATTTTAAATATTTATTTGGGATCGCGGCACGCAACGCGATGTTGACCCAAATAAATATTTAAAATACCCCGTCTTTAGAGACATTTGTATATGTTATTTAGGGTACTCTTTCCCTGGCTTTGGTTTGAGTCATGAGATTTTGATCTGTTTTGCCCTGTACATTGTGCTGCGGACATTAATAGAGGATTACCTGATTTATCAATAGTAATTTGTCAGGAGATTTATGTTCCTTCGGCCCTATGCTTCTAGCTTTGACAAGCTTGATGAAGGAGTAGATACAGGTGACCTAAACCCTTAGGTTTGTATTAGGTCGATGGCGAAAAGTTACAGTCCAGAGCTTTGTACATAATGGACTTGTTGATGACATAATCCACTTAGTTCAGCATTTGATTTTGTGTGAACTTTGGGATAATTTTCTTCGGTCTTTTACTTTGTGCTTTGGCGGACTTGTTGAAGAAAAGTTCATTCTATCATCGCTTTGTGTTTTAAGGATTTGTTGAAAGATCTGCAAGTTCTGGATTCAATTGATAGTACCAAACGTATGTAGTATTTTGATCTTTAACCACTTGAGAAGACTTTAATATGAGTCACTTGAATTCATCAGATCAGGAGAGGTAAGATTTGACAGCTCTTCGTCCACTGGTTGCTGAGATGAGGGTTCCTCTATTACGGAATTTTTTATGGCTTGTTGAGGAGATGGAGCTGCAAGCGATCCTGCCATATTTGGGCTTATATCCGACCTTTTATACTCATTCAGACTTTATGCTTTTATTAGTGAATTCTCTTGATTATAAGCCTTGAAGGCCTAATATGAATATATTAAGACAAATATATCGGTCGTCGTCACCGTATATTTGCTTGATAGTTCGAACCCTGACGACTCCTATTGATCCATATAGAAGGATCGGGTTCGAACTTGAATTCACTTATTAACCCGCGCAGCATCCCTAGACGTCACATATATATATATATATATTGATATTTTGATCGCTAGTTTTATTTATGCTGGTGTTTATATTGATAAAAGAAATTAGGTTGCTTTGGTTGTGTAAATTAAATAATAAAATAATAATTCTTTCAATTTGATTATGGTGCGTCACACTTTTAATGTATTTATAAACCCTTCAGTGTGCTCATGCAGTGCAGTTTCATGTACTTCAAGGCGTTTGTTTGACGTATTTGCATGCTTTCAATGTACATGCACGCTTTTTGGTGCACTCAGACAATACACTTGCATGTTTTTTGGCACATATGTATGTTGCGTTCATATGTCTTTCAATGCACTTGCCCACTCTTTAGTGCACTCACATGATGCACTTGCACGCATTTTTGGTGCATTTGCATAGCATGTTCGCATGCTCTTCACTATCATTATTTATGGAATCTTCTTATTTCATAAAAATGATAGTGTGATTTTTAGGGAACTGCACTTGTTGAGATGATTATGCGCTTCTCAGTGTAGCTGCACCATTCGAAGGATAATGACTCACTTTTTTGAGACAGTAACATACTTCTCAAGGCTTCTGCACACGTCTCAAGGCAGTAGTATGATTTATAAATCTGTTGCATGCTTATCAAGGTAATGACTCACTTTCTCGAGGTAGCGCACTTGACTTTGAAAGTTGAATTTTGGTGCATACAAGATTTTAAAATATTCATATTTGATTATTTTTTTGTGAGCGTTTATCAATGAAATGCAAATAATTTTTTATTTTTTAAAATAAAAAAATGCCTTCTACATTCTATACATTGTCGAATCTAGCAGCATAGTAGTCTATCCAAATTTGTATTTTTTTTTCTTTTGAACAGTTAAGTTAAAAACTTTATTTGTCGAGATTAATTTCAATTTATAATTCTTCTTCATTGCAAAGCGATTAATTTTAAATAATTTTTATTGTATAATAGGATAATGACTTACGACATTGATACTAATGCAGTTAGTACAAAAACTATAGAGAAAGCTTATGCTGAGTTCATAAGAAGCAGAAAGCAGAGAAGCATAAAACAGAGGAAGAAGAAAGAACAAAAGGCTAACTTAAAGATAGAATTTCAATGGATGAATGTTATCAAATTAAACAAAAAAGAAGTAATTAGCACAGGAGTACATATAGAATTTCAATGTCATTTTTTATAAAAAAAAAGCATAAGGGAATATATTATAAGGTAAAAGCAAACTTGCTTAAATAACCTATGAAAAACATTTGTTAATACCCCAAAATAACATTCATAAAACTTCAGGAATTGCACAAGCAGCAGCGAACGGTTAGCAAAAGAAAAGAACTCCTTTAACAAGGTTCAACTTTCTACTTCTAGCAAAGTGGCTCCAATCAATATTCTACCTCATATTGAGTAGAGACTATTTATGGTCAAGGATTATGATTCCAAAAAAGGAAAGTACCATGATCTAATGCTATTAAAAGAGCTTTTAATTTACAAGTTCGAGATCAATTTCATGAAGAAATTGCTTGTATGTTTTATTCAGCAGCCATTCCCTTTCATTTAGCAAAGAATACAGGATACTTTAGTACTTTTTCATAATTTAACACCCCTTAGGATTACTAACTTCAGATTTACCAAATTTACTAAATTCTGCTCCAGCTAAATCCTACTTGCAGTAGAAAATAAAGATCAAGTGATGCAAGTTTTATTTTCAAAGTAAAGTTGTTCTCAAGAAAAGATGAACCTGATATTGACTCCATCATTGGCGTAGCTAGAGGCATTCTCCGACACCCACTGCTCTGCTGCCTTCGTGCTCGTTGCTAACATCTCCAGCATGTCATTGGGGATCCCTACCATCACCTCAATCCCACTGTTCTTGAGAGCATTCATAGTCCCCACCTCTGCATCAAAAAGCTTCACCTGTGTAATCCCATCGTCCTTCAGCATTTGAACCACTGTGCTCGGAGGCAATGGATGGCTTGTCTGAGTCCCCCAGTTAGCTCCAATCCCACTCACACCACCAACCATCAACAACCAATAGAACACCAAAGCCTTCATCACATAGAAGCTTCCCATAGCTCCACAGCTCATCCTATAAAAGCTCAAAAATGGTTTTTTGTGGAAGAACATATAGCTTTAGGAAACCAAGTATCTCATTTTAAAAAGCTGAGATGAGTTGCTTAGTCGCATAAGCCCTGTGATCATCAAACCCCAGATGAAAACTTACAAAACTCGCAGCAAAAATAGGTTACCACTCGGAAAAGAGCTGTGAAAGAGCTAGTGACCTTTGCCAAGTCACAGAGCCCCAAAGATCAAAGTAAGCCTTTCTCAAAACGAAAAGCGCTATAAATTAATCAATCACTTTCTGTGCGAACAAAAGGAGTCAAATAATCCCCCTTTTAAATAAAACAAAACAACAAACATCAAAGGCTCAGATGAGTTTTCGGGTCGTTGCTTCTAATCTCTTTGAGCAGTCAACGATATTAATGAACTATACGGAACTTTAAAGTACCATAAATACAAAAAAAAAATTAAGAAGATAAAGAGATTGACTCTCAGGTAGATAAAGATTGTTCTTTTAGAATTGAAAAAGGTGCATCTGTGCTTGCTAGTGAGAAAGTAACTACTAAACACTCACAGAAGAATCAAGGACTGAAGAGGAGATGAGCAGTTCCAAAATCAAAGTAACGCAGTGAAAGAAAAAGGACAGGGATTATGATTATTTCTTGGGGTAACTGAAGAAAGTTCTCAAAGAATGGAGAAAGATTTAATTTTTATAGGTAAAACGAGAAGAAGATAAGCATTAAACAAAAAGGGGGTATTATTCTTTCACACGAACTCGTCCCTGTGCTTATCGTTCTGAGTTTGTCAAAGCTTGGAGCTGGTTTGGGCGGTGTGGATGGTGATGACAGCTTAGAGCAGCGTGACGGCGACGCGACGGCGTGAGCACCGTCGGAGGAGGCGTTTGGTTGTCCCTATTATTTTGCAGTCCACAGAGCCGTAATAGTAGTTAAATTCGCCACGTTTTGATTATTGAAACGAATGTCCTCACAGGACAGAGAACACCATTATTTACCGTTGAATTCCTTACACGTTTGACGATTCGTTCTGCTGTGACGCCGATTGGCTATTGGCTGTCGTTTCCTGTTTTTTCATCATTTTTTTTTAATTAGGTGCAAAGCTCAAAATATACATATAAAAGAAGTTCAAACATGCATGAGAGAATTTAGGTGTTTATTAATAAATTTACTAAAAATAAGAATGCAGAGAAATATGAAATATATTAGAAAATAATACAGTGGGAGTTTTTTATATTAGTATAAATTGCGACGTTGGGCTATATTGATGGGGTCGGCGAGTGGTGGTAGCAGTTAGAGGGCCAGCAGCAGCGGACGTTAACTAGTAGTAGAGTTGGTGGCTATGGCCGAAATTTATGATTTATGTGGAAACCAGTCAAGTTCAGTGACTTTCAAATACATCAAAATTAAATGATAATATGAATTTCAAATTCACCAATGAATTGCATTTCATTTAAAATTTGTCAAATCAAATATTTAGAATTCTTGGAATGCATTACACTACGAAAATAGCAAATCAAACAACCCCTAAAAGTAATTATACAAAATAGTTTGAGTGTCACAATAACTCAAAACATATTTTTATTATCTAAAAAAATAAAAAAAAATTACATAATGTATACAACTCATGAAAAAATGTATCCAATTATA